GGCCTTCGGCCCAGTGTTTCATTTTGTTCGGTTTCGGCTTCAGCCAAGAATTTTCATTTCGGTGCATCCCTAATTTTATTACTTTCAGTGTAAACGGTGACTAATAGCGGATAATGTTTTGACGGTATCAAGGTCGCGTCAGTTGAGGCTCGTGCAGCGTATCTGACTCACGAAGAAATCAAAACTATAAGCGCAACAGCACACACGAAACAAACATGAACAAACATACTGCGGTAGAAAAAAAGATAAATATTCTATATAATATATGCAACATCACACGACCAAGAGTGATGTTTTCCCGACTTTCAGCACGATTGCAAATGTGATGTTGATTTTATACAACTTTAGTTCAATAAACAAGTAATATTAACTGACTTACATTTTAGACACATTATTGATCGTTTTTGCTCCATTTCGCTAACGAAAATAGTTCTACGCAAAGCCACAGCAGAACAGCTGTGCATCTCCGAGCAACTCACAAAAGTGCAGTGTTGCCAGATTGGAAATGTCCAAGTATCGTTCAAAATTATCGTATTTTGGAAGAAAATTATCGTACACGAGTCAAACGTTCAGAGTACAGCTATTTATCTAGATGTTACAGCTATTTGTCCTTTTCAGCACTCAATTTTATACTTTATTGCTAAACTATCGACCTCAGCTTTGAAACAACTGACCTAAGTGTGGCAGGAACGTTATCTTGTGCTCGTGAGAGAGAGAGTCATTCTCCACGATGATTGGTCGAGAAGACGTGAGATGAGATGAAAGACATGTGTAACACATTCAAGTCTCCTCACAATCGTGAAGGTAGACGTACAGCCCTATGATTACAACGACTATCATTTGGTGGCACAAAATTCTGAAATTATCGTACATTATGGTATTATTGATCGTACATCGTACAGAGGTCAAAATTATGGTACAAATACGATAATTATCGTACGTCTGGCAACACTGCAACAGTGTTTCATTATTGAATGATTCAGCATCTTTGAACGAGTCAATGATTCAGTGAGCCATTCATAAAGACAGTCACTTGCTTCATTTATTGAATGAATCAGCCATTTGAACGAATCGGTTGAATCAGTGACTCACTCATTAAGACAGTGACTTGCCAACACCTACTGGTGGTTTAATTTCATATTTAAAAGTATCATTGCATTTTTCCAACATTTCATATTTGTATGTCAAAAAAAGTAAAACATGAATCTAATAACATTATTTAAGCATTTGCAATTTTGAGTAAATGAATTTATGGAACCTCTTATCTTCATTAAACAGTGTGTAAATACATCTAAATGGCACTTTCGATGCAGCTTCTGTGTTTCCTCTGCAGTGGAAAGATGGAGTTTGTTGATACTGATTTCATTTGAATGGTAACAACCATATAGTGTCTTATTATTCTAACTTAATGTATTGATTAAATTTAAGAATTTGACGTAAATGGTGACGTACATTTAATCAGGTTAGGAAAATATTGTCCTTCATAAAGTTAAAAAAGTGTAACAGCAATCAATTTAAGGCAGATATCACAAATATGCTGATTAAAGTAATACCTGATAGAGCACTGATGAGACTTTTGCTTCAGAATAAATTACATTTATGCGAGAGAAAAAAGAACCACCTTTTTTTCCCCCGGACAAGTAACTTCTTTACTCGGACAAGTGAATGACTGATATTGGTATATGAAGATTGAAACTAAATATATTTCCTATTTCAAAAATATATTTCATTGAGCTTCCCTGTTTGCAACATATATTTAGCACATACTTCAATTATATTTTGGCCACGAAAATATATATATATATATATTTTGGCATATGGGAAGGTTGAGCATTTAGAGCTGCGACAGCCTGTGGTCCAGACTGGAGAACAAAAGTGCAGATAAGTGCAGGATGCACACTTTATAATAACATTGCAATGCTATTTTGTAAATTCTTTGAGCTTTAGATGTCTGTTTTAGTGTGTTGTTACAAGTAGAGCACATCTAAAATGGGATTTACACATTCAGACTAGCACATAACTTAGTTCGCTTGTGCTTTTGTGGCCAATGTAAGTGCATTGAAGTGTCCATGCTATTTGATTCTGAAGCTTTTTGAGTGTCAGATCATGTTTATTTCTGCATGCTTGCTTCCTCCTAACTAACAGTCTTTGTGTTCTTTATGTGTGTCTGATGTAGGATCTGAGGAAGCTTGTGGCTCCGCTGCTGAAGAGTTTCCAGGCTGAGGTGAGTTTTCTCCTGAACCATAAGAGAAGTAAACCAGCAACTTTATAAAAAACCAACTTTATTCAGGCGGTGTGATTTAATTTGTCAGCACAAGACGACACAACAGGACAGTCATTATGAGTAGATATGTTTGAGGGACAATCGGGAACAAGTGTGTGTGTGTGTGTGTGTGTGGGTGATATTTTCTCATCTGTGTCTCTTCTAGATTGATGCATTGAGTAAGAGGAGTAAAGAGTCAGAGACGGCCTTTCTAAACGTCTATAAACGACTGATTGATGTGCCTGGTAAGTCTGTGTGTCATAACCATATGAGATGCATGATTAAAACATCATAATCCTCAAATATTTCCCTTTTATGCTGCAATAATAGCAGGTAATAATAATTACCAGTCATTTCCAGTCAGAAGATGAGTCAACTGTATGCCATATTAACATATGCAGAGGCCACACTGACTGCATTCTTTCAAGACTTTATTATTGTATTATATCTGTAGAGATAAAGCCCGAAGTTGACATTGATCCTGCTATGAAACATTACAAAGACCCCAGAATTCCCATGGGCCCTTAATAAAATTAGGTTTTATGAAATTTAGGGTTATAAAAAGTCTTACTTTTCTTAAATGGAACAAGAAAAGTCTTAATTATCTTTTAAGAGGTCTTACATTTTGGGGATGGAAAAGCAGTAATTACGATATGGCTTAATGTGATTATTGAACTTCAAAAGACTATGATTGAATTAAATGTGAGCGCTGCATGTAAAAACATGCTGCCGTTCTGCATTCTACAGATTATAATCAATGAATGCCACACATTTATGCCAATAGATTGCTAATGAACTACTGTTGGTGAATCATGACAATGTTTACTTTATGGTGTTTATATTGTAGTGTGTTTTAGTTGGTTGTAAGAATGCATATTTTATACCTATTTTTTTTTTTTCACTTTGTGCATGTATTAGAAAACATAACGTTCTGCAGTTTATTTGCTAATTGTTTAGGCCATTTCAATCATCATACTGTAACCAGCAACAACCACTCTCCTCTTCTCATCGAAGACATGAGATGCAGTATTAAACAGTCTCTGTCTTTGCATCTTTCTCAGACACTTCCACACTGCTGACATGTTTGCTGCATTGTAAAGAATGCGTGCCTCTCACTCTACGCTGGTTGCTATTGATCGCGTCACGTCATTGTTCGGTACAGTTTATTCGGTCTTTTCGCTTATTTGGCCAAACACCGAAAGAGTGCACTTTTTTTGCTACTAACAGCCCTAATTGGTGCATGATCCCTAATTGGTATATTGGTACATAAACCAATTTGAGTAGGCATACATATTGAATAAAGCATTTTAAACTTGCATATACCCTGATTTGCAGATTGTCTGGGCCCAGATGGTTCAGTAAATGAAAAGAACTCAAACTTCTGTTATAAGAACCTGTGTTGATCAGCTGTTTGAGAGCTTTGCTGAAGGCGCTGTTAACTGTGGCTGTGTGTGTGTGTGTGTGTGTGTGTGTGTGTGTGTGTGTGTGTGTGTGTGTGTGTGTGCATAGATCCGGTGCCAGCATTGGAGCTGTCGCAGCAGCTGCATCTGAAGCTCCAGAGGATGCACGACATAGACACGGAGAACCAGAAGCTGCGTGAGACGCTCGAGGAGTACAACAAAGAGTTTGCTGAGGTCAAGAACCAGGGTGAGACATGCACACATAACACTGGAAGCATCCTGTCATCTTTTCCCCATGATGTATGTAGTAGAGATGAGGTTAGGCTTAGACTCAAATGACACGGCCTGGTTCATAAAAATATTTTTATTGAACTTGTTCTGGAAAAAAGTGGTGTTGGAGGCCTGGGCGATAAAACGGTATCGATGTTTATTGACGGTACACCTTCATCGATAACAATATAAAAAATGTGCGATATAGCGCACGATATAGGCACGTGCTATGAGTGACGCAGACAGGACACACGAACACGAACACATGCTGAATTGAGTGCTGCACCTGCCTGTGATGAGGAGATTGTGAATTAAAAAAAATATATATATTAGTCGAATTTAAAATAAACATTTGCATTTGAATGCAAAAATGCTACAATCGAATGTTAGATGTGTGTCAGCGAGCGTCATCAGTGGAGCACGAGATGCGGTGATGATGTGAGTGACGTTGTTGCATTTTAATGTTTTGTTAGTCTAGCCCACGAGACGCGCCGCTGCTGCGTTATTCATTCAAAATATTAGAGAAATATAGTAGCTCAATGCGGAGAAGATCTTGATTAGGTTAAAACCCGAAACCAAGCCATTCACACAGAACGCATATTCAGCACATTTTTACACGGGCAAATATGATTGCTGCACTCACGTCTCATGCAAGAGATGCAAAGAAAGTCATGCAAAGTTAAAACAGTTTTAACGTTTAGAAAACACGATGCGAATTTGTGAAGGTTTATTTTATTTAAATGCGTCTCATATGTTTTTAAATGCAGTCTGTGTGATCGGTGATTTGGCTCTTTGTATTAGGCTAAGCAATGCATAAACACATGATGCTGTTTTGTTTATAATGATTTATATATGTTAATTTAGACGTTATGCACGTTATTATTTATATATGTTAATTTAGACGTTATGCAAATTTGTTGTTTGCCTCAATAAATTGGGCAAATTAAAAATACAGTGGTTAAATGTAAACATTTTTTTCTATTGCTCTGTTTTAAAAAAGGTTATAAAAAATGCCGATAATTATCGATACCGAACGATATGAAACATATATCGTTGATATATTTTTTAGCTATATCGCCCAGCTCTAGTTGGAACCATGCTGCATTACTTTGCTCTCTGAATATGTTAAAGTGCCCCTATTATGAGTTATGAAAGGTTCATATTTTGGGTTTGGGAGTCCCCAGCAACAGGTTGACATACAATGTATGCAAGGTCAAAATTACTATTTATTTTTTAACTATAATAATCAACACTCAAATTAAAAAATTGTATGCAAACATGTGAATTGTTTTTAAATTAACTTCTAAATTATACAATTTCTATTTGTTGTTGAAGTATAATAATTTACAGTCGTAACTTGTTTCATAAAATATGTATTTAAACATATACATTAAATAATTACGACATCACTAACAGGTAAAATAAATATAGGGAAGTATAGGCCTAGTCTTAATATTTCACAAAATGCTCTTCACTAGACTTCATTTCTCAGCAAATGACGAGCTGTGGACACTTGCCTGTTGTAAATGAAATGCTTCGTGATATTTTGTTTGCAAGCTGTTTTAGTGACGTCTTTCCGCGGTTGAAACACTGATTGAGCGAGTACTGTGAGTGGTGAGATGTTCATTCATGTTTATTTTGCGTTAAAACTAGTAATTAAGATGAAGGGATGATCACGCTGTATTAGCACAGGTTGTGTGTTAATCACAGCTTCACTGAAATTTGCGATCTGTTTGTAGAGGTGACCATTAAAACACTGAAGGAGAAGATCAGAGAGTATGAGCAGAGCATGAGGAACCAGGCAGAGAATCTGGCCCTGGAGAAACACCAACAGATTCATAAAAACTATGAGGAGAAAGAGAGGTCAGTACCCATCGTGCTCCATCTCATTTTTATATAATCCACTGCTTAAGATACCTAAATCATGAGCGGTCCACCTCACTTTTACTGTCATCAAAGCAATAGACCAACCATTGAATAGCATTAAAAGTTCTATTCTGCCACTTCAGATTTTGGATTTCTAGTAGGTTGTTAAAATGGTCCACATGATTAACTTGTAATTCTGAAGGTCTTTCAGTATTTCGTTTTCAACCCTGATCAAACTCACCTGCCTGTGTTTTTCAGGCCTGGAGATTTAAAGATCCCTGATTGAAATAATTGGAGTCTGTTTTCACAAATGACTCATCATGGGTTTAGATGCTGTTCCTCTCTCTAGCTGGGCTTCCATCCAAAGTTGCAAATTACATTTTTGTGCAAAATTGAAATATCGCGTAAAACATTTGCGAAAAAGCACCGTTTCCATCCAACGAGTCAAAGAGAGCAAAATCGTCACCTCCTGATAAACTGGCACTAAATATCACTAAGAAAAGTAGGAGAAGCCACTGAATATAATAATTTTCATATATAATAAATTACTTGCGCCTCAGAACAAGCAGATGATACACAATAAATGCGGTCATTGCTTTCGGAGGCAGATGCTGCTGTTTGGGAACGCAGTCGTGTAAAACATTATATAGAAATACTTTGATGACAGACTTTGCTCAGGGATTTCAGAATGATCATAACAACATTTCAGATGCTGTGAATGAGAGTGTTAATCACAGCTTCACTGAAATTTGCGATCTGTTTGTAGAGGTGACCATTAAAACACTGAAGGAGAAGATCAGAGAGTATGAGCAGAGCATGAGGAACCAGGCAGAGAATCTGGCCCTGGAGAAACACCAACAGATTCATAAAAACTATGAGGAGAAAGAGAGGTCAGTACCCATCGTGCTCCATCTCATTTTTATATAATCCACTGCTTAAGATACCTAAATCATGAGCGGTCCACCTCACTTTTACTGTCATCAAAGCAATAGACCAACCATTGAATAGCATTAAAAGTTCTATTCTGCCACTTCAGATTTTGGATTTCTAGTAGGTTGTTAAAATGGTCCACATGATTAACTTGTAATTCTGAAGGTCTTTCAGTATTTCGTTTTCAACCCTGATCAAACTCACCTGCCTGTGTTTTTCAGGCCTGGAGATTTAAAGATCCCTGATTGAAATAATTGGAGTCTGTTTTCACAAATGACTCATCATGGGTTTAGATGCTGTTCCTCTCTCTAGCTGGGCTTCCATCCAAAGTTGCAAATTACATTTTTGTGCAAAATTGAAATATCGCGTAAAACATTTGCGAAAAAGCACCGTTTCCATCCAACGAGTCAAAGAGAGCAAAATCGTCACCTCCTGATAAACTGGCACTAAATATCACTAAGAAAAGTAGGAGAAGCCACTGAATATAATAATTTTCATATATAATAAATTACTTGCGCCTCAGAACAAGCAGATGATACACAATAAATGCGGTCATTGCTTTCGGAGGCAGATGCTGCTGTTTGGGAACGCAGTCGTGTAAAACATTATATAGAAATACTTTGATGACAGACTTTGCTCAGGGATTTCAGAATGATCATAACAACATTTCAGATGCTGTGAATGAGATCGGTCCGCTGGTTAGTCAGGTTTTGCCGTCCCATAGCGCAAAGACTTTTTTTTATGCGCATGGAGGAATTTATTCGGTAAATGCATTTCCATCTCCCATTAAGTCAAAATGAAGGGATTTTTTTTCGAAATTTGGTGTTTCCATCATTCGTTTCTGATGCGATACTTCAAAATAAATGAAGGTGATGGAAACATAGCTACTGTGTCCCATCGTTTTTGTTGGTGAGTAAAGTATCTCTTGTGTTCTGACAGGAAGTTCCAGGAGTCGCATGAGTCTATGGTTGGTAAACTACAGGAAGCTGAACTCAAAGCCCAGACCCTGCAGACAGGTACCAGAGCAGCTGCTCTCAGTCTGCTCAAAGAGGCCCATTGTATTTCATTTGTCAGTGCAGTTCATCTTCTGATAAAAATCTAATTTGTATTTGATTTATCAGTGAATTATTCATTCAAAAGCTCTTCCTGCATGTACTAATAAACAGGAGCTCTGCTAAAGAGTGTGTGTGTGTGAGTGTGTGTGAGTGTGTGTGTGTGCGCGTGTGTGCGCGTGTGTGCGCGTGTGTGTGTGTGTGTGTGTGATTGTGAGTGTGTGTGTGTGTGTGTGTGTGTGTGTGAGAGTGTGTGTGTGTGTGTGTGAGAGAGAGAGAGAG